AGTAGTCTTAAGTGGAACTCCTGATCCTCAGTCGTCAGGTCCCTTAACAGTAGCCAGGTCTCAAGCAAGACAGCTCCTTTGCTTCAATAAAACCCACACCTACAACAGAAGCGAAAGGACTGACCAGTGGAATAACGGATCTTCTTGGCAGTATTGCACTAATTCAGTGTGTCCAAACAGGAAAAGAGATAAGACTATCCCTACCCTAACAGCACTCCTAGCTCCTATCAGAAGCAAAGAAGATCGCCACTCAGTAGTACCCCCACTAGCAGAAAAACCTTCCCCAGTACCATCATACCTTACTCCCACTACAGCGTCATCCAGTAGAAGTGTAGTAGCTCCTACACCACGTACATCACCACTCCAGTTAACCACCAAGCCCTTGCCAAGTGAATTGACAGACATCAGCCCCACAGTCAGACCCAGTATCTTCTTAGGAGTCTTTGACTCACCTGAACCAGCCAACCCACCAGCCTGAACTGAGGAACAACCAGTACCTACAGAACCCAAACCAGAACCACCCAGATCTCCAGTCAATCCTACCCCAGAAGAAGGACCTGCTGACAGACATCCAAACAACCCAGAAGATGGAGACCCGGAACCCAGCAATCAAGAAGACAAAGGAGACATGTCTGACAACAACAGTGGAGCAGTAAACAAACCTAATCAATTTGAAGGAGATAAAGGAAAGAGCAAAGAATTCTTGGATGAGTTATACCTATACTTTGCTGGGAATTCCAAGAAGATCCAGACTGACAAAGATAAGGTTCAATGTGCTCTTTCATATATCAAAGGACCTGCCCAATTCTTCGTTCACACAATCATCACTGATGCAGAAGAACCCATATCTGATTCTGAAGATGCGCCTCTCAAAGGATTGCCCAGCTGGGCTAACTTCAGGAAGTCTTTTATCCAAACCTTCGGAGTTGAGGACGATACTCAGGCAGCACTAAACGAGATCAGCAAATGCACCTGGGTAAAGTGTGGAGGAAATGGTCTTTGATTTGTCACAACTCTTTGACCACTCTTACAAGTTAGCAGATTAAATGAGTTAGGGCACATTTGAGAACTCCAGCACCTCATTCCCCCTGCTCTACTGATCAAGATTGCTGCTCAACCACCATTACCAGTCACTGCAGTAGGATACCTCAACAGCATCCAATCCATCTGCCAATCTATAATCGACATCTTTGGTGATAAACCCTTATTTATGCCATCTGTCAACCGCTCTTTTGGTTGAAACAAATTTGTACATTGTAACCAGGCAGTTGAGACCAGAGATAGATCATCAAAGGAAGTATCATCTAACAATCAGCAGATCAGACGTCTGTCAGATAAAGATCACAGAGAACATATGGAGAAGAAGTTATGTTTCAGATGTCACAAACCTGGACATCAGAGCCATCAATGCCCGAACAATCGTATCAGGGCCATTGAATCCCACAACACATCCACTCAGGAAGAGGATGGAAACAAGAATCTTTCCAACGAGGAAGGGATAGCCGAAGAATACATTCAAGCTATATCCTCTGAGAAGGATTTTTGAAATCTTCGATTGCTGTGATGTCAAATCGAAGTACTGGCACCAAGGATTATTTATATCAGGCGAGATTAGCTCATAAATCTATTTATTTACCCTGCATATTGAAAACCTATGCCAAAACCATCACCACTGAGGCATTGCTTGATACAGGAGCAATGGAGAATTATATTGACATCCAGTTTACTGGAGATCACAACCTCCAGCACCAAAGTATCATACCTAGACCAGTGTTTAATGTTGACAGATCACCAAACAAAGCTGCGGCCATCAAATACAAAGTCTTCTTCACTATATCCTTATCTGGACAACCAATGAGAATAGAAGCCTACACCACAGTACTGGATAGGAATCCAATCATTCTAGGCCTTTCATGGTTCAAACACTTCAACCCAGCCATTGACTGGATCACTGGGACGATGCGCTTTCATTGGGATCAACTTCTACGAGCAATCAAAACCCTTGCTAGTAACATCCCAGAATACCTAGAAGACTTCCTCTCTGTGTTCAATAAAAGCACAGCCAAACACTTACCAGAACGGAAAACCTGGGATCATGCAATCAATTTAGAAGCCAACTTCAAACCTCAGCAGGAAAGGTTTACCCGCTATCACCAGCAAAGCTCAAGGAGTTAGACACCTTTATTGAGGAAAACTTGCAGAAAGGATATATTCGTCCATCCAAGTCTCCCATGGCATTCCCATTCTTCTTTGTCAATAAAAAATCAGGAGATCTACAACCATATCAGGACTACAGGAAACTCAACGACGCCACCATCAAGAATGCCTACCCCATCCCAAGAGTAGAAGATCTATTGGATTGTGTTGCCTCTGCCAAACCAACTATGTTTATCAAACTTGATTTGCATGTGGGATACAACAATGTACAGATCAAAGAAGGCGATGAATGGAAAGGAGCATTTATTACTCCACGAGTGTTATCGAGCCAACTGTCATGTTCTTTGGAATGACAAACTCTCCGGCAACATTTCAAGCTATGATGGATGGCATCTTTGTGGATCTGTTACCAGAAGGATGGCTAGTGATCTATATTGACGATATCCTCATCTACTCCACCAACCATGCGGAACATCAACAATGCACTCAACTGGTCCTCCAGTGTCTGAAAGAATCAGACCTGTTCCTCAAACCCAAGAAGTGCTTCTTTGATGTATCAGAAGTCGAATTCCTAGGGTTTATTCTCCAACCAGGACAAATAGGGATGGCAGAAGATAAGGTATCAGCAGTACTAAATTGGCCACAGATTAACAGTGTCAAGGCACTACAATGATTCCTAGGTTTTGCCAACTTCTACTGCCAATTCATTCCAGGATATTCCAAAGTTGCACGACCTCTATTCGACCTATTGGTGAAAGGGATCAAGTGGAGTTGGACTGATGATCACGACAGAGCCATCAATCAACTCAAGGAATTTTTCAAGACTCAACCACTTTTGGTACAACCTGATGTTACCAAACCATTTTGAATAGAGTCTGATGCTTCTCTAAAAGCCTCCGGTGGCATCCTATCTCAGAAACAATCTGATGGAAGATGGCATCCATGTACTTTCCTATCCCAGTCCTTCTCTCCCATAGAACAACAGTACAAAATCTATGATCAAGAACTCCTGGCAATCATCAGATGTTTCAAAGCCTGGCAACACTACATTGAAGGATGATGAACCAGTAGAAGTACTGACAGATCACATGAATCTGACCTATTTCAAAGATCCCCAGAAATTGAATCCTTGACAAGCACAATGGGCATTGTACCTGTCTATGTTCAATTACCGCCTTTGCCATGTGCCAGGAACTTGCTTAGGCAAAGCAGATGCACTATCACATATTGATCAAGATGTGTCTGAAGGGGGGGGCGAACTTCCCGAGGAAGAAGTCCTTCTTCCATCAGAAGTCTTCATTCAAGCCATTCAGAACCTCGAACCCATCAATACAGACATCAAACAATGCATCTTGACCTGCAAAAACAAGGACAGCATCGTCAATCACGGTCTTCGGCTGGCATTGCAATACACTTCATCCACAGACAAGCATATGCCTCCTAACTGGGATATTCAAGATAACTTGCTGGTATTCAGAGGATGAGTATACATACCCAAAGACACTAAACTTCGACAGAATCTCATTCAAGAAGCCCATGATTCACCTACCACAGGACACCCTGGGCAATACAAGACTCAGGAGATCCTCCAAAGGACCTATTGGTGGCCCACTCTTGCACGCGATGTCAGTGAATACATCACTGGTTACGCAACCTGCCAAGAAAACAAGGTCATCACACATAGGAACTCACCAGATCTAGTACCAATTTCAAAAGAACATCACCTTCTATTCCAATCCATCACCATGGACTTCATCATGGATCTACCTTGGAGTGATGGCTTTGACAGCTGTTTAGTAGTAACCGATCACGACTGTACCAAAGCTTCGGTATTCATACCCTGCAACAAGACAGTCACAGTGTCTGAAATTGCCACCCTGTATCAGAACCATGTCTTCCGATGATTTGGACTACCTGTCAAAGCTATCTCTGACAGAGGGCCACAGTTTGCATCACGAATGTTCAGGGAACTATGCACCAAATTAGGCATTAAACAGAACATCTCTAGTGCATTCCATCCTCAAACTGATGGACAATCAGAATGTGTCAACCAAGACTTGGAATTATACCTTCAGATCTTTTGTAATCACTGAGCAACAAACTGGACACACCATCTGCCACTAGCAGAATTCGTGCACAACAATAGAAATCATGACACAATCAAGACGTCTCCCTTCCAGGTGCTCATGGGTTACCAACCTTGGCATAATATTCCCACTGTGGGAACAACAGATGCTCCGGACATTGCTTCTAGACTCACTCAGCTAGCACACCTTCACACAGAAATCCAATCCAGTATTCAACTAGCAGAAGAAACAGTCAAGAAACGCAATAAGGAGAAGTTTACTGAATACACGCCTGGACAGAAGGTGTGGCTGGAAGCAACCAACCTCAAAGGCCTTCACCTGAAAGCCAAGCTAGGGCCAAAGTGTTACAGACCCTTCACCATCAATCAGAAGCTGTCATCGGCGGTTTATCGGCTGAAGTTACCACAAAAATGGAAGATTCACCCTGTTTTTCATGCAGGACTACTTTATCCTTATTCGGAAACAACAATGCATGGGAAGAACTATCTCCGACCTCTACCGGAACTAATCAAGAACCAGGAGGAGTTTGAAATAGAATGTATCATTGATTCAAAGACAGTCGGCAAGCAAACACTGTACTAAGTACGATGGAAAGGATACCCGGCTTTGGATGACTCCTGGCTGCCGAAAACCAAACTTTCACATGCCAAAGATGCTTTGGAAGACTTCCTACAACCAAACAAGGGATGACACCTTATAAGAACTACTCGCCCTCGTCTTCCTCAACGGCATCTATCACCATCCTCACTGCCCTCCTTCTCTTCAGCTGGTTCTTCACCGCCCTCCTCATTCTACTCCTCACCTTCACCATCTTTGTCCTCAAAGACAACTACACCTTCAAGGTCCACCTTGAGCGTACCCCCACCCCTCTATCCACCACTCCCATCAACAAACAAGCTCTCAATTGGGCCAACAACGGAACGCAAGTAACATCCCCCATCAAGCTTACCCCCATTCCTTTTACTGATCTTCTCAGTAGTGAACCAAGTCGCCCCCCTTGCCGCCACCACCCTCACTGTCGTCGACAAGCACCCCCATCTCCTCCTGCTCACCCTGCTGAGCTCCTTCCTAATCACCCTCCTCAGCATCCTCACCCTCGCCCTCATTGTCCCCCTCACCCTTCGCACCACAATCTGACATCTAGAACGCGAACATCAGTGGGTGTTCAACATTGCCACCACTGCACAGCGCCCCCTCCCGTATATGACCACAACACTTCCGGTAATCGCTGCTAACCGGGACTCAAATAACCCTACTCAAGTTTATTTTGAGTACATTAGGGAGCATCAAGATTAGGGTCTGGGGTCTAATTTTGTCCGTAGTAGTTGCCTTGTTTTGTATTCTTGTTCTAGTTTTTAAAAACAACTCCTTCTCTGGCTACTCCCCATGCCTGCTGAGCACAACAACCGCGTTAGAAATAACAATGCAACTTCTAACCTGGATCCGCACTGTCATCCTCTGGCTCCTCGGCATGACAATTCTCCAACGGATGGTCTCCAAAGAGCACCAACACCTTACCCTTCCCATATCCAGACATTAGAAGAATGCTTCACTGCTGGAATGATAGAAATGCCAGTTCCTAGGCGACCCATCTTGAGCTTCCCCTCCCAGCAAGAATCTGATGACTCCTCTTTGGAATTTCTTGATGAAGGAGGTTTTTGCTATCCATTCACACCCCTCTTGGCAAATATTACTTGTTGTCCATTTCTCATCCCAGGACCCCTGGACTCTTCTAACAGCAATGCAGTAGTCTTGCACCAGTTCCCTGGACCACTAGAAGTTCCTCATACCTCAGAAGCATCCACCAGATCTTACCACGTTGCCCCTGCACAGGTTTTCCCATCCTCATTGCCTATGAATACCTCATCCTCTCCAAACCCTGATAGTCCCCTTGCTGCATCCACTGACTCCCCCAATATGCCGCCTCTCGCCTCTGATATCTCCGACAATGGTAGCCTCGATCATGCTCCCAATCTACAGCTACTGGCCAATGTCAGTGAGTATGTTACTGCATCAGAAGGGCACAGAAGTGATCCACAGGAGTTTGTAGTCTACAGTGATGATGTAATCCAACGACCCTCCAACGATGTCACCCAATACTGGCGCTCCATTCCCTTCAACCCCTCCACTCCAGTTCAGGATGTCGACCCCCTGGAACGAGTATTACCCTACTTCCCCGGGGCATACGCCAATTTTGTTACTCGACCTCCTATGGGTGTTCCAATTGATGGCAATCCTGCGTTCGGATTACAGCAGGTCTCGATGACCACAGCAGATATACTTCGTGCCATGGAATCTGTAGGAAACTGGAACTCTTCGGATATGGAATGGGAGGAGGTCACTTGGGAGTACTTGCTGACATGAGATGATAATCTCTTAGAAAGTCTTTGGGCATTGCTGCAGGACATCAAGGATCCTGGTGTGACTGATGAAGTTGATCGCTTCAGGGCCGTCGACACCAAGATAGACTTCCTACTTGCGGCATCACGATCTGTGGGGGCAGAACTCATTTGCGCACAGGCAGAAATGGACCAGTGTCGAGCTTGGCTTAGAGCTGCCAACCTGGAGGAATGCCTTGAACAACATGAATTCTCCATCATTACCCCTCCTTCTGGCGCCATGCCCTGTCGCCTCTGCTTCTGTACCAAATGCGAGGTCGACGGTCACCTTCAGAGTGAGTGTTGGCATTGGTTGTGTTCCTATTGTGGACTCCTTCACCCTCATCATAAATTCCGCACTGCTGCCGACATCCAACCTGGACAACTTCCCTGTCCCACTAACGAACCTGGATACTTACAAGAGCGTTGCGCTCAATGGAAACTCTGAACAATGAATCTGGAAGAGGGGGTAATGTTACAGCGTGAGAGGGGGGTTTCTTTTTCTTTCCTAACTATTTGTCATTGACCCTGTACTATACAACTGATCCCATC